GGTGAGAACAGGGGGGGCGGGTTACATACACTTTAAAGTTGCTGCTGAGGCCAATGTACAAACCGTGTCAATAGCAACCACGGATTGGCAGGGGGGAGTTGACAGGTCTCTACAATATTTTCCAGGGTCCAGTTCCCAGCCAGTGGCCCCATAGACTACCCAGCAGGGCTCACTTACTTAACAACCTCCATGTCTCAAGTGCTCAGATGCGCTGTAAGGGCTCCTAGTGAAGGTGCCATTTACTGCAAGGGGCAGCACTTCATTCATAAGGTTCTGGAAGAGCGAATGTGTCCATTGTCCAGCCTAGGGCAGCGTTTGGCTGGGATACAGTAAAGAAATGTCTGGTTGAGCCCAGAGATACAGTCCACAGGCCGGTGCCCCCCACTGAGCAGAGCAACATGGACGGCACAAGTACTTCAGAGCCGCCCAGTCACCATCACTTCAATCTGCCCTGGGATCAGCTTTAGCCAGAGGGTTTCCATCTAAGATGGGCTTGGGGGAGGCTCAAAGGTTTTGCGAAGTCACTTCGTCTGTGTGTGAGTTCTCAGTGCCTGAAAACCACTCTGCTGCGTCCTGCACGGGTTTGACTTTGAAGAAACGGTCAGAGGGGCCCTGCCAGTGTCAGCAGGGTGTGAAAAGCTCGTCCTGCACAGGAGCTGCACTGGGCAGGGCTGGATATTACATGTCACTGGGGTGGGGTGGGGGTTAATCAACGCAGCACGGATTGGTCAGGCATGAAGAGATGGAAGGTCTGCGTTTGGTAACATCCCTCTTGTGCTCTCTCCTACTTGGTTGCGCCCCTGTGACTGGCCAGAGCCTCACGTGGGAACCAGTTTCTCTCCCTGTACCACTGGGCTGAAGGGATGTGAAGTTTACGTCTCTGCTCCTCACCTTCCCCCATGCACCTGCTCGGCTCAATCCCATGGACTCCACGTGAGTGGGACGCTCACGGTATGTGAGGCAGCATCGGTGCGATTCAGAGAAGATCTCTTCGCTGTTTGGGGACACTGTTAACATAGACACATCATGCTTTCATTTTATTGGGCTATAAGTCATCTCTCCTCCCACAGGGCATCTCTCCCCGTGACCATAAGGACCAGTCAGATAAGAGCAGATTAGCATAAAGGTGGAGCTTGCAAACTTCTCCCCTAGAAGGATCAATTTAAGGGGTAGATACTATCAGGCCTTCTCAGTGGATCTGGCTGTTTTTCTCCCAAAAGCCTGAAATCTCCTCACCATGCTCTGGGCTCCCCTCATCCTCCTGCTGGGGACGTGGTGCACAGGTGAGAACAGGGGGAGCGGGTTATATACACTTTAAAGTTGCTGCTGAGGCCAATGTACAAACCGTGTCAATAGCAACCAGGGATTGGCAGGGGGGAGTTGACAGGTCTCTACAATATTTTCCAGGGTCCAGTTCCCAGCCAGTGGTGACTCAGCCGCCTTCAGTGTCAGTGTCCCCAGGAAACACCGTGAAACTCTCTTGCACCGTCAGCAGTGGGAACAGCATCAGTGACTATAATGTACGCTGGTTCCAGCAGCAACCTGGGAATTCTCCACGATACCTGCTGAGATATAAGTCAGATTCTGACAAGCACCAGGGCTCCGGTGTCCCTGCTCGCTTCTCTGGTTCCAAAGACACGGCCAGTAACACCGGCTATTTGACTATCTCCGGGGCCCTCGCAGAGGATGATGCTGATTATTACTGTAATATATGGCACAGTGATGCTTGTCACAGTGACACAGTCAGAAGGGGAAATGAGACAAAAACCTTCCTCCCCCAGCCTGGGCCCAGCAGGGAATAGCATGGGCTGCCGCGTTTGGTCTTTCCCTCTAACACATCACACCAATGTTTGATCTTCACAGCGAAGCTCCGTCCCCACTCTGAGGCAGGATTCGCTCTTGCCCTGTTTCTCTTGCTCTCTTTGCAGGGGCAACGCAGCTCCTCGCCAGCCTTCCTGCTCTCTCCTCACGCTGACTCTGTGGGGAGCTGGGTGGAACATCTCTGCCCTTCTCCCTCCTTCTGTCTCTGTTCATGGGGAAGGAGGAGGACAATTCTTCTCGGCTCCCTACCCTACGTGCTTTGCGTAAATGGGTTTGTCCAACTCCTTTCCCCATTTCCTGCAGGACCTGGCCTCAGTCCTGAAAGGGTCTACGGGTCACCACCCCCTCCAGGCAGGGGGAGTTTGCAGCTCTGGTTAAGCCTCATACAACCTCCCCATTTACATCTTCAGAGTTAGGAGGCCTCCAGCCGTCAAAGCTGCCCTTCGCCCTGCCCAGCTCGTGCTGTTCACAGTCTCCCAAGTTGTTTTTCTTCGGCTACGTCTACCCTGCGCACCTTACAGAGAGTGGCTGCAGCCACGCCGGTGTGAGGTACACAGTGTAGTCGCTCTTTGGTGCTAGGAGAGAGCTCTCCCGGCAACAAAATAAACCACCCCGGACCAGGGGCGGCAGCTCGTCACTGGGAGAGCGTCTCCCGCCGATGAAGTGCTGTCCACACCGGTGCTTTTCATCGTTAAAACTTTGGTTGTTCAGAGGCGTGGTTTTTTCACACCTCAGAGCAACAAAGGTTTTAACAAGGAAAGTGCCATTGTAGACAGAGCCTACAGGCTGAGCCGGTGCCGAATGACTGTGGAGTGTGCCTTTGGCCATTTAAAGGGCCGCTGGCGATCTCTGTATGGGAAGCTGGACTTGGCTGAAAACAGCATCCCCGCGGTTATATCCGCGTGCTGTGCCCTCCATAATATTTGTGAAGGGAAGGGTGAAAGCTTCACTCAGGCATGGACCTCCGAGGTTGAACACCTGGAGGCTGAATTTTCACAGCCAGAGAGCAGGGCTATTACAGGGGCCCAGCCCGGGGCTGCAAGGATTAGGGATGCCTTGAGGGAGCAATTTGAGGCTGAAAACCAGCAGTGATATCTGGTGCCCTACACGGGAGTGAAGTGCAGTAGTTCCAGTCTTTAGGAATCAGTGTTTGCTAAGCAGACAAGCAGACTTGCAGTGCCTGTTTATTTCCTGGGCTAAGGAGTCTTTTACTTTATGCAATAATAAAGAATATTTTCAAAGCCAAAAAATCCATTTATTGAAAAGAAAAAAAAATTATTTATTGAACAGAAACAAGGGGGTGGAGTGGGGAACGGTACAATCACAGATTCGCGTATGTCCTGTCTGGTGTGCTGTGCAGTGAGTGCTGCACTTCAGGGCAGATATACTGCATGGTGATGGGGGTTGAGTGCAGAGGGAAGGGTCGTGGTTTTCAGGGCTGGGTGGTGAAGATACTGGTGTTGGAGGCAGCGGGTGGTGTGAAGAATACGGAAGTTGGGGAAAGTGGGTTGGAGGTGACAGTGGGGCACAACGGAAAGAGTTTGGGGACAAGGGCTGTAGAGGGGGGTGGCGTTTGCGTTTGCGGTACTGCTCCTTCTGCATGGCTACGAGCTCCTGGATAGCATCTGCTTGGCGCTCCAGGATGCTTATGAGCTGATCCGTGCTTTGCCGCCGGTGCGCTGCTAGACCCTAGAGGAGAGCCCCTGCTGAGTGGGGGGTGGGGAGGAATGCAGAGCCTTACTGTCTGCAGCCTGGCTGGAGGAGGAGGGACGAGACGAGAAACCAAGGTGACAGTGAGTTTTCCCCTTCCACCTGCTTTTATTAGCTCTGGATTTAAGCTGTGCAGCCAAATGCCTATTGCATTTGCTGTGTATATTAGTATTGGAGATCCCCTCATCCCGGGGGCAGAAAAGAACTGCCCCTGCCATGGTCAAACACACCCTCCCCCCAGCAACTGTGAGTGAAATTAACAAGGATGCCAGAAACGGCTCCTAACCCTGGGGGCTGAACGGCGCAGGGAACAGCTGAGATTAAACTGTTCTTATGCAGGGGGCAGGCTTCTCCCTCCCTCAGCCAGTCTCCTTTTCTTACCGGTCCTCCATAACGGCCCGTACCTGCTTACTTTCACCTCTGGGTGGGTCACATGGTTGGTTACCTGAGGCCAGGGCAGTAGAGTTTGAACTGATGACCAGATTGGCCAGGACAGGCATTGTGGGATACTGCCGAATACTTCTGGAGGCCAGTCACAGCACATTGGGCGGCCACACTGGCGCCACAGCGCTGCAGTGGCAGCGCAATACTCGCTATTCCTCTCGGGGACGTGGAGTACATGCAGCACTGCAACCACGGAGATACAGCGCTGCAAATGCCTTGCCAGTGTGGACAGGGAGTGAGTTACAACGCTGGGGGCGGCTTTACAGCGCTGCAACTCGCAAGTGTAGCCAAGGCCTCTGTGTGAGCAACTTTTAAGGCTTGGAAGAACTGTTTGTGGTGTGTTGGTTATACAAGGCGAGAGGGAGCTGTGGGAGCTGCAGGAGAGTTTGCTGTCTGCCCAGGGCTCTGATCAGAGTCAATTCTTGAGGCAGAGTTGTTTCCTGGCCCCCTGGCAGTGGTGTTGGGCTGAGATTCCTGGGAGAAGGGCTTGCCTGGCTTCTCCATTCCAGAACCGGGATATGTGGAAATAAACCGAGCTACACTCAGAATATACCCAGACTCCATGTCACTGATTCCCCCTCCACTGGGGAACCGGCCTGCAAGGCCCAAACGTCTCCCCTGGCTCACTAAGGGCTGACACTGGTGTCAGAAAAGAGACACTGATGTTACTAAAAGAGGCACCAATACAAACATCTACCGGGAGGGGGTGGCTTCCGTCCATTGGGCTGTGTCAATTCTCCTCAAGGCAGGTGCAACTGCCTAAGTGCTGGGGAAATCCCTTCCACAGACGTGAGCAGGCTGGTGACATGATGAGTCCAGAGAAGAACAAACACCTTGACAAGGAACAACGTGAATGTTGGAAACAACTGTACACGGGTGTTCCCTGCAGCTGTGAGACAGTCAGTAGGGGCCAGCGTTCCCATGAGCTCTGCATGTAGGGCTTGAGCTCTTGTGAAACGCTGGAAGGACTGATCATAGTAACAGCAACACTGACCACCGGGGGGAGCTCTTCACCTATCCAGTACTGGAGCTGGGCGTCTGGATTAGTGCAGCAGTGCACAGGAGTCAGGCTACAAACTGCTGGGATAGAGACATCTCTGGGCTTGGGGCTTTTCATACCCCAGCAACTTTCCCCTTTCTAATGTCACCCTGGAGGACACTGTGCTTTAGCTTCTCACACCCCAGCCACCCCACTCCCCTCTCTGCTCCCAGCGCCCCGGAGCAGGGGGCTCAGACTGGCAGTCTCGTTTGGAACGGCTGGAGGGTCATGACAAGATCACCAAAACGCAGCGGCTGCTCTAACCCGGGAGGGGGACGCTAAGGGGAGAGAAGCAGAAATTCTCTCCCTCGTCTGCTGCCACATTCCTGTCCCGCTGCTCAGACCAGGTCCCTCTGCAGGGAAAGCCACTAAAAGCCATCAGGAGCCAGCGGCCTCGCTCAACATGGGCCCCATTGCGCACAGTATCCTTAGCTGGTTCCTCACCATCTTTCAGTGAGCTTCCTTTGAGCAGTGTGCAGTGCAGAAGGGTTTCAGCCCCTCCCCCATCCCTTTCCAGGGGTACATCCCTCAGCAGCATCTTCCTATAGCACCATAACCACCCAGCCGCATGTCCACCACCCAGCGGCAGCCATATTGTCCACTCCCAAACCCCATTCCTACACCACCCCCCAGGCAACAGCTGCTAACCCCAGAAGCCATCAGTCCACACCAGCCACACCGCTCAGAGACACCTGCACATCCTGCACCGCCAGCAAGTCCCAGCAGCCACCCCACCAAGGACACACAGCCCCAAAAAAGCCAGGGTTTATTGCAGCTGCAAAAGATTGTGGGTGAGGGTCATGACAAGAAACCCAGCTAGGTTTGCAATGCCAAGCAGACAACATTGGAGACTCCTCGCTCCAGAGGGAGTGCTCTGAACGGTAACAGTCTGAGCAGATACAGCACATCGGAGCCCCTCACCCCCAAGATGAGCTTCATTTTTCCTTGCAAATGGAAAACAAAACAATTCTTGGGTCTGTCAGTAGCTGTCTCTGAGGGGAGGGAGGTGCCAGCAGCAGCCAGTGAGGAGGGAGCAGATTTGCATGAAGGGGCCGTTCTCCAGCTCTGGGGGTTTAAGAGAGAATTGGAGGGTCCCAGCCACAGACCCGTTTGCCTCAGGAAGCCGAGCGCGTCTGGATTCCCACCATGGCCTGGGCCCCTCTGCTCCTCACACTGCTCACGTACTGCTCAGGTGCGGTGACGGGGCGGGGGGGCTTATCTCAGTCTTTCAGTCAAAGGGGTCTTTGATTTTAGAGCCATTTCTCCCATTGGTTCCCCAGGCTGCTGGCCCAGAGCTTTAATCATCCTGATTTTATTCCCATGTTTTCTCCTCCTGTTGCAGGTTCTCTCGCCCAGTACGTGCTGACCCAGCCACCTGCAGTATCTGTGTCTCCAGGGCAAAATGCTCAACTCACCTGCACAGGAGAAAAGATTGACGAACAGTATGTGAGCTGGTACCAGCAGAAACCTGGCCGTGCCCCCGTACTCGTTATATACAAGGATAGTGAGAGACCCTCTGGAATCCCTGAGCGATTCTCTGGGACGAGCTCCGGTAACACGGCCACGTTAACCATCACTGGAGTCCAGGCGCAGGACGAGGCTGATTATTACTGTGAGCGGTGGCACAAAGACAGTAGCACTGCTCACAGTGACACAGCCAGATGGGGAAGTGAGGCAAAAACTGCCTGTTGACACGGGGGATCATTTATTCTCATTCTTTCCGTGACAGCGTGAGGGGCCATTTCCGAGCTGGGAATGGAGGCTTCTTATTTCGTCTGCCCACAAACCCTTCTCGGCACCCTGGGCTCACAGTTTGTCTCCTTAGTAACCCCTGGGGTGGGAAAGGGCTGAGTCCTCCCTCCCCTGGCACAGGCTCCAGGCTCTGCGCTCCAGTGAGTTGAGGGGCCCATTCAGAGCACTGGAAAGTCCCCCAGCAGACAGCTCTCGTGGGGGTGGCTCCTGTCCCAGCCAAGCAGCCATTGCTACTGAGAACCCCAGGGGGTCTGAGGAAAGGGCGAGGGGACACACCCCTGCCTCTCAGGAGGTGGCCAGGTTACTCAGTAGCCCACCAGCTGCTCTTCTTCTGCATTTAATCCTCAGGGGAGTGGGGTGAGCACGGCAGTGATGCCGTTACCAAGTGTCCAGAGGGTTGTCGATGTGCTCCTGCCGTACTGGAGTTGTGCAGAGCAGGGATCGAGCGCTTCAGGGGGGATCTCACCCCCAAAAGAGGGTTTGCTGAAAGTCCCCACTGGGTGCAGCCCGGGGCATCGAAAGGCAAAGTGAGTTCTGCGTAACTAGAGCTGCTCCAAACGTTTCAGACAAATAATTTATTCAGCAAAAGGTGCAGTTTCCGTCCAACCGAAACGACGCACAAATTGGACCCGGCTCGTTTTGGCCAGTCACAAACTGGCCAGAGGTGGTGCTGGTGCTGCTCTTACTGTTCCTGACACTCCCGCCTACACTTCGTTTACCCGGTGGGGAGGGGACTCACCTAAACCATGGGCAGCCCACATTCAGCTCCCTGCTCTGGAATCGTTCCAAATTGGACTTTTACAACGCTCCAAAACATGTAAAACATTTCAGATTCGATCTGAGCTGAACTGAAGACACGTCCAGTAACGCCGGCTATTTAACCATCTCCGGGGTCCTCGCAGAGGATGAGGCTGATTATTACTGTGCTGTGGTGCATACCAGTGCCTGTTACAGTGACTCAGTCAGATGGGGAAGTGAGACAAACTCCTCCCTCCCCTCCCCCCACCCAGGTTCTGTGGTGGTGGGAACAAAAACGCACAAGCTGTAGTGTTTGGTTTTTGCCTGTAACGCATCACACAACAGTTCTTCTTCACAGTGAAGGTCATTTCCCCACTCTCAGCAGTTGCCCAGCACTTCCCTAGTCTTCCCTGTTCTCTCATCACACTCTCTCTGCTGGGGTCCAGGTGGACACCGCTAAGAACATAAGAACAGCCACACTGGGTCAGACAAATGGTCCATCTAGCCCAGTATCCTGTCTTCCGACAGTGGCCGGTGCCAGAAGCGTCAGACGGAATGAACAGAACAAAGCAATTACTGAGTGATCCATCCCCTCTCGTCCCGTGCTATCATCTGGCAGTCAGAGATTTAGGGAGACCCAGCGCTTGGGGTTGCATCCATGAACATCTTGACTAATAGCCATCGATGGACCTATCCTCCATGAACTTACCTAGTTCTTTTTCCAAACCCAGTTACAGTTTTGGCCTTCACATCATCCCCTGGCAATGAATTCCACAGGTTGACTGTGCATTGTGTAAAGAAGTACTCGCTTAAGTTTCTTTTAAACCCGCTGCCTATGAATTTCATTGGGTGACCCCTGGTTCTATTGTTATGGGACAGGGTAAATAACACTTCCTTACTGACTTTCTCCACACCAGTCATGATTTTATGGACCGATATCATATCCCCCATCTCTTTTCCAAGATGAACACTCCCAGTCTTTTTAATCTCTCCTCAGATGGAAGCTGATCCATACCTCGAACCATTTTTGATGCTCCTCTTTATACCTGATGCATATCAGGATACAGCTCCCAGGTGTCAAGAGTTCCAAACAGAAGCGGTGGAACTTCCGAAAGGCCGACTGGGTAAAACACCGGAAAGCGCTGGAGAAGAATGTGGTGACAACACCAGCCTGGCATCTCTCGGTAAATGAGACCTATTGTCACTTCTGTGGTGCTATCTACAAAGCAGTCTGCAGAGCCATCCCACGCGGTTGCCGCCTGGTCTACATCCCCTGTCTCAACGAGGAAAGCGCTGCCTTGCTCAAGCAGTAGGAAGCATCTGGTCACCCAGATGTCGCAGACTATCTGATCGAATCCTTGGACACTGCTCCCTGAGCCAGATGGGAGGATCAGGTTTACCCGCTCCAGCCGCAAGTGTTGGAGTCAGCGTCGATGCCTTGGAGCAGCATAGTAGCCACCTTCACTCTGTTTACCCCCAGTGACACCCAACCAGGTAGCCGGACACCTACTGAAAGTGGCCAGAGCACCTTTGGAGAAACAGGTGCGAAGACAAGTGTGGAATGAATGGCATATGTATAAATGTGTAAACCAGATCAGCAGCTGTCCAGAACTATTCACTGTAGCACAGCTGGAACAGACATTTGTAGCATCAAGTGTGGAACAGCTGCAGGCTATGACACCATATCTCCAGAATTCCTGAAAAACCTTGGCCCCCCCATACACGGCTTTGGCTTGTGAAATTCATCACCAGGGTCATCAGTGAAGGGAGGCTACCGAAGATATGGTGCACTGCAAAAACATTGGCCTCCTAAAGTCAAGCATCAAGCTATCGTCCCATATCCTTACTGTTGGTGTGTGCCAAGGCACTGGAGTGCTTGGTCCTACAGCGCATATTACCTGATGTGGAGAGAATTTTGGGCCCTGGCGAAGCCGGCTTCCTCCGAGCCATAGCACATGCGACCAAGTACTCACGCTGACCACATTTGTTGAAAATGGCTTCCACAGAAACTTGAAAACAGGCGCTGTTTTCATCAATCTAACAGGGGCGTATGATATTTGCCTCTCCGCACTCTGAAAACTGACCATTTTTTCCTACTCTTTGTTTCCTATCTTTTAAACAGTTACTGATCCATGCAAGGACCTTCCCTCCTATCCCATGGCTTACTTTGTTTAATAGCCTTTGGGGTGAGAACTTATCACAGGCTTTCAGAAAGTCCAACTACATTATATCCACTATATCACCCTTGTCCACGTGCTTGTTGACACTCTCAGAGAATAGTAATAGATTGGTGAATTCTAATAGCTCTGCCCTTCCCCCTCCACGATCTCTCTCTTTACTTGGGAAAGAGGGGAGGACAACTTGTCCCAGCTCACTCCATGGACCATGTGAACTGCTCAGTCCAGTCTCTCTCCTCCATTTCCTTGTGCAGGACAGGAACTCTCTACCGACTAAGGGTCTCCAGCCCCTGCAGCCTCAGGGCGGGCAGAGGAAGCTGCCACTCTGGTTACACCCTCCTGAGACACCCCTATTCAGGGCCCCAGAGATCTTGCCAAGGGCCTGCAGCAAAGAGGCAGAAGGGAGATCCTGAGATTTCCAATGTAAGACACGCCCATGGGCCAGGTGATGGAGCAGGGCTGTTTGCTTAAATATTCAGAGGGAAGCATCAGCCTACCTAGGAATGACATTCTGACTGATGTACGTGGGAATGACAGAAATTCCACTGAGAACAAACCTGGTAGGGCTGCTAATCCTCCAGGAACTAAAGATTAATCTTTAATAAAGATTATATCATGTGATGAAACCTCCAGGAATACAGCCAAACCAAAATTGGCAACCCTAAAACCCGGAGTTCAAGTCACTGCTCGACCCTCCACTGGAGAGCTGGCCTGCACGGCCCCAGCATCCGCTACTGCTCACGCCGGGCGCCCCTAGGGTCAGAACAGAACATTAGTGTCACGGGAAGAGGCAACAATAGCAAACCAGCTAGGAGGAGGTGACTTCCCTAGCTTGAGTTGCATTAGTCGTCATCTAGGCAGGTGCAATTTCTGAAATCCCTGGGTAATCCCTTCCAAAGATGTGACCAGGCTGATGATGTGATCCGTGCAGCCAGCGCAGAGAAGAACACCCTGAAAAGGAACAACATGAATGCTGGAAACAACTGTACGTGATGTTCCCTGCACCTGTGAGAGACAGTGGGTAGGGGCCGCTTTGTGATAAGCTGAGCATGGAGGGTCTCTAGCTTTTGTGAAACCCCGGCCAGAATAATCTTAGTAACAGCAGCACTGACCACCAGGGGGTGCTCTTCACCCTCCCAGTACTGGAGCTCAGAGTCTGTACTAGGGCAGTATAAAGCGAGTCAGGCTACACACTGCTGGGCTAGAGAGATCTCTGGGCTTTGGGGCTTTTTATTCCCCAACAGCGCTCACATGATCTGGACAAGGGACCCTAGAGAACACTGTTTGGATTCCAACTTCCCAGCCACCCCCTCTCTGCTCCCTGGTCTCTGGGGCCGGGGTTCTCCGACTGGCAGTCTTGCTTGGAGTGCTGGGAGGGTCACCAAAACCCAGTGGCTGCTATAACCCGGGGGGAGGTGGGGGCAAGCGTTCCCCTCACCCTGCCCACACTGTCCTGCTGCAGGGAAGTACCACTAAAAGGGGAGCAGTCAGGAGCCAGGTGCCTTGATCCCCACGGCCCCCATTGTTCACAGTGGTCATTAGCTAGTTCCTCACTGTCTTTCAGTGGGGCTCCCCTCCAGGAGTGTGCAGAGCAGAAGGGTCTCAGCTCCACTCTTCCCAGCAGTGCCTCACCTAGCAGCATGCTCCAATAGCCCCCCACAGCCACCAAGCAGCACCATCCCGGTTATTCCCAACCCCATTCAAGCACAACTCCAGAGCCCAGGCAGCAGCCACTCACTCCTCAAGCCACCAGTCTGCAGCAGCCACACCTGCCAGTGACACCTAAACAACCAGCAGCCGTCCCATCGGACACAGCCCCAAACCAGCCAGAGTTTCTTGCAGCCATAAACATTGTGGGTCAGGGTCATGGCAAGAAACCCAGCTAGGTTTGCAATGCCCAGTGGGGAATGTTGGAGACTCCTCGCTCCAGGGGGAGTGCTCTGAACGGTAACAGTCTGAGCAGACACAGCACTCTGGGAGTCCCTCACCCCTTAGATAAGCTTCATTTTTCCTTGCAACCGGAAA